CCCTAGGTAACTTAAGTAGACTCTACCCGAGAGTTCTCCTTCTATGACTGACCGCATCTTTCTGTTAACCTTTCCACCCCTAGGCAATTTAAGTAGACTCTTCCCGAGAGTTCTCCTTCTATGACTGCGCATCTTTCTGTTAACCTTTCCGTCCCTAGGTAACTTAAGTAGATTCTACCCGAGAGTTCTCCTTCTATGACTGACCGCATCTTTCTGTTAACCTTTCCAATCCTAGGTAACTTAAGTAGACTCTACCCGAGAGTTCTCCTTCTATGACTGACTGCATCTCTTTGAGTGTAAGGAACAGTTTTAGAAATCGACATGTATAGTAGAGGTCCTCTGATCCCATATGACTCCAGCTTGATATATATAGGTCGTCAATGGTGGTAATGGATAGGGTTTTTACATGAGTATCCTGATGGGAAGCCATGGTTCAGTGAAGTAAGGACCCTATGACTGTCCAGATGGTCCGATATATGTTTGCATATGATGCGTTCTAGGATTTTACATGGTACTGATGTTAGTGATACCGGACGATAACTTTCTGATGAGTTTTTGTCTCCCATTTTGAAGATGCAAGAGATATTTTCCTCCCACACTTCACAGGTACATTGCCGTTTTTTCTTGATCCACCTCGATCAAGACAGCTGGCACGCGCTATTACGTCACAGACAACGCACTCTTTCAACATGACCTGTGACCATGTGCACTTTTAGCAAAACCGATTACATCATCACTTTTTACACACATGTATACTACACATGTAAACAAAACATGGCAAGCTCAGCATTCCGACAGTTCAAAATAGGCGAATGTGTTGCCGTAGGAAAGAATGGTGAAAAGGAGAGAATTGTTTATTAATTTAATTAATGATAGTTCGGTGCATTGGGGTCGAAAATACAACTTCGCAGTTAAGGTATTTTTTTTTACTGGAGGAAAATGTGTGAGGAAAATAATCAATCACTCCTGTGTGAAGTAGACAGAGATAACTCAACCCTCGGGATGATCTATTTTTTAGGTTTATCACTCGACAAAGCCTCGTGCTTAAGCTAAAAAAATATCTCACCCTCTGGTTGAGATACAGTATCTCTGTCTACATCACACAGGAGTGATAGATTCTATTAGTCTACATCACA